ATTATGGAGTGCCTGAGTGTAGGCTTCAGGCTGGGCGCAGCTTCAGCTTTTGGGACCTATACTAGTCTCACCCTGCCAGGGTGTTTACGACCCGCTTGCCCGAAAACGTGTCAGGAAGAACATCCGCAAATCACACCTAAACCATATACTTTCAGTTGGGTGTTCCCGATTCCCCATAAACCCTAAACCTCCAGGTTTCCGGGATCTCTAGAACCGAGAAAGCATAAAACCGACCCCCATTCACGCACCTTGACGCCAGGCGCAGAGCGAGGGCTGCAACCAGCTTTGAAATCCTCAGCCAACAAGCTGGGGGCCAATAAGATGGAAGGCTTCGCTGTATGATTAGTTGTTGGGTCGGGAGCTTGTACGGTTCAGGCTTTATGTCTTCGAGGGGTGGGTTTCAAGGCTATGACGTAGATACGGTTAAAATAACGTCTAGTGTGCCACGCTCACAGGAATACTCATCACAGCAATGACTTGCCGACACTGAGATGTAAAGCTTTCAATCCAGTCCAAGCCACACCTTCACCGGTATGGCAACCCAAAATACGCTACACAGATGTCCTGCTAATTTGCGCACTTGCGGTCTGAGGGTTCCGAAGCCTGTCTGGGTGGGGCTCGGCTCGCAGGTTGACGGACTCCCTGCCATCGATTTTGATTCTCGATATGGCAAGAACGCAAACCTGTAGATTAAAGTGTCACGCGGTGTGGAAAACGTCAGCGCAGGGCTAAACTTGCTTCCAAGAGTCTGTGAAGCCGCGGGACAAAATGTCCTCAGGGGTGCAGCAAACACGGAAGGTTGCAGGTTCAGTGTTTACGTAAGACTTTTAGTGTCTAGGGCTAGGGTTAGCGGCCTAGCCTTGTGATCCGATTGGGGTGCTGTACTTTAAAAGGATAAGGGAAAATTTGTGCATGCAGAATCTATGAAGTGCAGCCTATCTGGATCCTTCGCGAAAAGCCCGTCTTTGCGCTCAGACCCTTCCGACTTCATTGCGTCCCAAACCGCAAACTTCAGATTTTGGTGGCAACTTACGTGCCCCCGCGAAATGGAACCCGTGTAGCGGGTTGCCCTGTGCGGGGTCCACAGCCATCTCCACAGTGTCGACGACGGTCTCGGCCTTAGGGTTTGGATCTCAGGGTTTAAGGTTTCAAGGCTTCTGGACTTTCAAGACAAAGGGGAGGCCGTGACTTTCTACAAAAACTGGTAAAGAATCCCCGAAGCACAGCCTATCACAGGCCCTATGGCAGGCCCTGTACACCCGTGGCCACAGCCCTGATAAGGCCTATGCGCCCCCTGCCCAAGCAATGTCCGCACAGGGTCCGCAATGTCCGCACTTGCCTCTCCATAGACGTACGACAGACCCTGTTGACCCCTGCTACCTATCCTGTCGACAAGGCCCCTGCCCACAGGCTTATGACAGATCCTATGCACCTCCGGCAGAAGCCCTGTCCACAAGCCCTCACCCCTGTCGCCGGCCCTGTCGATTCGCCCTGTTCCGCTCCATATCGCCTGTTCCGCTCCATATCGCTCCATCACAGGCCCTGTGGACTAGCTCGTCGCCCTACTACTGCTACTACTAGTACTACTACCACTACTACGTACATGAGTGCTACTAATACGACGAGTATCCCGGAAAAGCGGGATAATAGACCATTTGCTGGAATAGCATATGCTTTTTTTGGGTACGAGTAGACCATGTGATAAAGTAGGTTACAACTCTCTGATGGTTCTTGTGTTTGCAGCGGCATGTTAGCAACTAGACGATAGCACCGGATACCGACGGTTGTAGTTTTAAATAAAGACTCATGCAAGGGCATCTTTATGCAGCAAACATAAATCTCGATTTCGCGCAACAGAATCTCTCGTTTATAGGCAGCAACGAGCAGGCTTTGCGTCGCAACGGACTTTCTGTGTTGCAAACAGACAAAAAAGAGAGTGAGAGAGAGAAGGGGAGTCTCCGAGAAGGTTTTATGGTTTAGATTTGTTGGATCGTGCGTAAACAAGGTTAAAGCTTCGAAACACTAACGACTACACATACTTAGACACGTAGGCACACTGATACCCGCACATGTACATGCAGATGACCGCGCGACCGTAACACCGAAAACCCCGAGACCGTAACACTTCGGACCCCGCCGAGGACCCCGCGACCGTAACACCGAGGACCCCGCCTGCCATTTAAAAAGATAGCGTGATGTCGGCATTGTATTCAGACCAAGGCCTTGAACAAGCGCGGATTTTGGTATGTCATGTCTAAACACGAAGATCTCTGTGTTTACCAAAACATACAGTAGAAATACTGAAAATTACGCTTGTATATACCAAATATGCATGTGTATTCACTTAAGTGTCTATTTGTCGTGGAACTACATACAACCGCGAAAAATGTTGCACATGGGTATGTTGTTTTTTATGTCTGTGTGCCTGTGTGCTTATTTATAATCATGCTCAGACCTCGGCACGAAACTGGACACAAACTGGACATCACTTGTGTCACGATTCTGGGTTCTATTTCAAAAAACAGCCAGATTTTTCAGTATAAAAAATCAGATCGAGTTTCTGTGTTTACAAATCTGTGTTTACAAATTTGGCGTTTTGATTTTGCAAACAATATACATGTGATAAAAGAGGCTATGGATCTTGAAGAAAGGGCCGTAGCATTTCTTGGCAGAAAAGTACAGCCTGGAAAAGCAATTATATAGTTATCAAGCGAAACATAGATTTCGTCTTGAAAGGTTTAGGTGCTGACACCTACATGCGAAGCTTCTTGTTGCAAAAATATCAATTTAGTTTGGGGGCAATTTCGTCGCCCTTTGCATGTCTTGATTTTTACACAGTTGTATGTAACAAAAAAACAATTTTGCCTTGGTATGCTCTTGTTCGCCAATAAAAGGCAACAAAAGTCTCGCCATTTGCACGTCACTATTTGTTGCCGTGACACAGACCGGCAAAAGAACACGCACTTACGACCAGTACTGCCAGTAGGATACGACTGCAACAACGACGACACCGACGCGACTCCCGCATACTACCGCGACGACGAATAGTCAACGAGTACGAACACCGCTACTGCCTTTGCAACTGCAACGACTACCAGTGACTACCAGTACGAGCGGAGAGTCGTCCGCACTCACCCGACCGCCCTAACCACTAGCAGGAGCAGAAGCAGTAGCAGCCAGAACCAATTGTCCACATGCACACAAGCATTATTTTTGGCCATTCGATTCAAATACAATCATAATTTAATCCCACGGGCAGGGTGGACGGACAGGGCTTGCGACAAGGGTGGACGAGCCTTGCTGCTGCGTCCAATCAGGCCTGTCAGCCATCGGAAAAAGAGGCGTATGCCGCTTTGGTGACATTTTTGCAGAAGCCTTGGCTTTGCCATGCCTCTAGTCTTGTGTTTGGCCTTCGGACAGGCATTGACCGCAGCGTCTGTCGTTGCTTTTGGTCTTGACAGGCTCTCACCCTTGGCCACGATGATCTGTCGAGTGGGCTCTGGAATCAACGAAAGGTGGAAGAAGTATATTGGATAATTGTTTGGGAACCGGAAGCTGTCCGTAAATACCAGGCAGGGTGCTTCCTTCGATCTCAGAAGCGTATATTTTGTCAGGATGGCTATCGGCTATCGCTCCACACTATGTCAGACATCATCTTTGTTCCCCAGAAAGAACATCTGTCTGTTGCCATACTTGAGAATATAAATGATTCTACATGGTGTGGAGCGATAGCCACCATGACCAGATGTATGTCTGGTGTGCTGCGGCGCTGAGACCGAAACGGAAGCAGCCTGCCTGGGTCGTTATGGATAGCTCCAGTTGAGGTGCTCGAATCGTGCTCGAAGACATCTGGAGGGAACGACTCGAAACTGCAGGGTTCCCTGGAGTCGCTCTCTGACGCTCTGTGCTTCGATTGAAAAGGGGTCGAAGTTGGTGTCGACAGCGTTCTTCTTGGCGACTGAACAGCCACTCTGTGGATCCCTGCTGGAGGCATCTTCGACTGGCGCTCAGTGCAACTTCGCGGCGGCCATTGGAGACAGCAGCCCTCGATAGCCCTTGCAGCCTCGACTGGTCTGCGCTGACATTGACAATCTGTTCAGCTCCTGAGGCGTCTGAACATCCAGCTCAAGTTCACGCGGTCTTTGCACGAACCAGATCTGCATGGAGAGCTCACATGCTCCTCTATCTGCTGAGTTGTCAGCCCATGAGCATGGCTACCTGCCAGTGAGGAGCCAAGTTCCAACAAGCGTCGCACAGGCGGCGAGATGATGAAAGACGTGCTTAACATGCACTGGCTGTTGACTTGCTCTACATGGCACGGAAACCGAACGACTTCAACAAGTCCCGGCACTGCAAGGCCACGCTGCATAAAGTGAAGTCGCGGCAGAGGCCGAGAAGTCATTGCACAGACTGTGTTTATCTAGGGAATCCCCATTGAACAGCGATGTCGAAGCCTCAAAACAACAGAAATCAGGCTCACGCGCGGGCAAACTGCAAGCTTTTCGTTAGATCATAACATGCTGGAGCATAGGAATCCCCATTGACACGCCCCTTTCAGAAGCAGGAGCATCGAAGGTTGAGCAGGACCTGTATCTAGAGAGCGCCTAAGATTGCCATCGCAATGGCCCCTCAAACCTGAAAGTTGTACCACCTCTACTATCCCAAACGCTTCAAACTAAAGGGGGACCACAGAGAGTTGGTGGTCCTAGTCAGTGGGTTTGTTCAGCGGCGATCAGGCTGACCGAGACCCCCTGTGCGCAGCAGGCTTATATAAAAAGGAGACGGGTTATCCGGCCTGGGTTTTCTGCAGCAGCTCCAGTGTGGATGCTGCAGTGGTTGATGTTTGGATGTATGCCAGTCCGTGCCCCGATTGCTTAACCCAATGAGGAAGCTGAAACGGTTGATGCTTGGATGCTTGCCAGGCCGAGCTGCGAAATGCGCAACCAAGGTGTGGACGCTGCAACGGTTGATGTTTGGATGTATGCCAGGTCGGGCCCCGATTACTTAACACCAATGTGAACGCTGAAGCGGTTGATGTTTGGATGCAGCAGTACCGGTTCCCTCTTGTCCACGCTCACACGCCACGACGTCCACAGGACGCTATGACTTAGACCAACCCCCCAGTACCAGAGTGATAAAGGTGCCTGATGCGCACGTCGAGCTGAGGTCTCGGCCACAAAGGCAACTGGATCCTGCGGGGTTTCGGATTAGGGTTGCCTGCTTTAAGTGGGTTTGTGGATTGCCGCTTGGATTGATGTGCTAGCCCCAGAATGATCCCAATTCAGAGCTACTGGCATCCGCTGGGCGTGTACCGACGCACCACACGAGAACTTGAACTTAACGGGTCCTTGGCTCAAACGCAGTGGCTTTATGCATAACGGCCTGGCCCAAATCTGGAACTTACTTAATTTACTTACGACAAACCTGAAGTCCTGAATGAATGCCTGAATCCGCCATCCAAAACCTCAGGCAGCTTGCGCTGCGATGCTAGATGTCAAAGGAGCAAAGGAAGCAATCTTAATGGGAACACCTGTTCCGAAAGCTCCGAACAAGGCTCAGGTGCCCAAGCCGGAGTCTGGTGGGTTCCCTGCCCTGTTGCTATGTACCTACATGCTTCCCACGTATAGCCTCATTCAGATATTCATTGTGGGGACACGACTTCGCCAAGCTATGTCAAGGCTTCCTCGGACCATTTGCACAGACAAACCTTGCATTATGTCATTATGCATGGTGGAAGCTGTCTCAGGGCGAAATGAACAGAATGGTTCCCCGACAAGAAATAGCACCCAAACGCCTCTGGAAATGCCTACTAGTAGCGTAGGGATTGGGCAGCCGAGACGGTCCGTGGCTCGCTCGTAGGCATCTCCGAGCGCATCCCCAACCAAGCCGGTACCTATAGGGAGCTCAAACATCACAGAAACAACTATCTAGGTATGGTTGTATCACAGTACCAAACTCCCGCAAGCAGACACGCAAGACTGCAGACTGCAGACCTCAATGCACCCTTAGGTCGTCACACATAAACGTGAAAAGGTCTAGGTACACGTCTATGCTTATGCCTTTGTATGTGTTTCTGCATATGCCTTTGTGCATGTGCACGTGTAGGTATATGTCTATGTCTATGTCTATGTCTATATGTATGTATGTATGTATGTATGTATGTGCATATGTATATAAATATATATACACATATATATATATATATGTTTTTCGTGATTTTGGACTGCTCCCAGCATGGGACCCCCCCGTACCAAGAAATCCAATCCTGGGGAACCCTTGAGATCTGTTTGCAACCCTCAGAGCCTGAAGTGCAACTAAGTTAACTACCAATCCTCCTGGAGCCAACAATTATTGCTTCTAAGGTTGTTGAGTGACACCACAGCACTTTGGGCTTCGGACAGTACACCATCTTTGGAAGAGCACGACAAAAAGTGCATGCTAAGGGGTGAATAATTGGGTACGATATATGCAAATATGTGTGTATACATGTGTATATACACATACACATAACGTGTAAGTATGTGTGTATATATATATATACGTATATGTAATGTATACACACACATACATACTGTGTATATATATATATATGTATGTATAACACACGGGTGTCTCACATGTTGGCTGAATAAAGCCATGCTTAACATACTCACAAGAGCAGATACAATGAACAGTGATCGTGCATGAACTCTCATAGCGCGCTAGACTCTGCCCAGCTCCAGATGTGCTTCTTTTGGATCCCTGTGCCTGACGTGAGGACATCGAAAACCTTGGAGTTAACGGTCGCCTGGGCTTCAGCCCGAGTCCGGGTCCCGGAGCGACGCGCTGGTAGACAAAACTACTTGTAGGCTCAAGGGATGGGTTTGCCAGTTGGATCGTCAGCCTAATTTTGTGCATTACAGTTCTCGAGCATAAACAGGCACCCAAACGACATCTGCCCAAACGAACCCGCACACCTTCATCTTGAACCCTAAAAATCCATCTAAATCCTTGATCTGATTGGGACGCCCTTCTGCGACGAAAGGAAAATCAGCGCCGTAAACCTCAAACTCCATAAAAGCCCTAAAGCCTGTAGCAAAAAAATCGGCCAAGCGGCATCCAAGGACCGCTCCTCCTCTCCACGCTCGGAGCGCTGCAGCAAAGCCTTCCCAGCTCCGCCTGGCGCCACCTCCCACAGGGTCTGAGTCGATGTGAACTTTCGCACACACATCTTTCCCTCTGTCTCTATGTACATGTTTATCTATATCTATATTTGTATACATATATATACATATATATATATATAATACACATGCACACTCATACAGTGTGAGGAGATATGCACCGAATTAGGACACATTCCAACCTGACATAACCCAATCGAATGCAATCTGACTACTTTTCTGCTGTGCATCTACGACAGATTAAATATGAGCTTATGAATACCAAGAACCAAACTCTCAAGGGCAATGCAGGAGTTTTGGGAGACATAGAACTTGCCTAAACAGTCTTGAGTATTTGATGATTGATTACACTCATTCATACTCATTCAACATTAATTGGACCATCTGTGCCTCTGTGGAGTTTGTCGGCACTGCCCGCGGTTGCTGCGGCCGCTTTTGCGGTTGCTGCGTCTCGTGGGCTTTGGTTGCGAAGGTGCGCGTCTCCAGCTGCCTAGGATCTGGAAAAGCACCCCAATAAACACTACATGATTACATAATGTTCGTGTGGTTTGGATCTTACGTAGAAGGACAACTCGACAGTGTCTAGACTTCCGTACTCCAAAGCCTCGCTGCTTCTTGTGCTTGCGGAGGACGCCTTTCAAGGTGTCATGCGCCTGACGGATTTTGGTCTTTGCCGCCAACTGCACCTGCAAGGGAATGCTATCCGATGCAGTATCCTCTGCCGTGCCTGCAACCCCTCCGGTGACTCACAGATCGTCTTTGACTTTTGCGTTCAGCTCCTATTGGCCTCCTGGGTGGAAGGAGGCTGCTGAGGATCGTTGTGTTCCTGGCTCATGTGTGCTTTCCTCCACTCGTTCATGTCTTTGATCTGCAGCTGCTGGAGTTCCACGACCGTCTCCTGGCAAGCTGCGGATGCGCATGTCTGCCATTGACTGTGGCCCACATTTCTGGAAACAACATGAAACAACCACACCCCTCCCCGCAAAGTAGTCCAGCTGGGCGATCTTCATCATCATGAACTCCAAGTTCCGGCCGAGGTCACCCATGCCCTCCATGCCCTCCTCCTGTTTCGGATCCTTCTCCGGGTCCGGCAAGCCTTGGTCTTCTTGAAGGTCGTCGAC